GATGAATGATTCCAGACGCACCAGATGGTCAATGGTACTTCGGTTTTTTCGGAAACCACATTGGAGGTCACCGAGGAGGTTATTGGTCTCCAGGTACCAGATTAATCGATTGTTGACCATGCGCTCCATGGTTTTGCAAACGCAGCTAGTTAGTGATATATGACGGTAGTTTGAGGGATCAGTATGATCGCGACCGGGTTTTGGTATAGGGATGATAATGGCATTGTGCCAGGAAGGGGGAAAGTGTCCGGATGTCCAGATGTCATCAAATATATTTAGGAGTGTTTCCAGGCCTATGTCAGGGAGGTGTTTCAGAAGCTGATAATGGATTTCATCAGCTCCTGCCGCAGTATCCTGAGCTTGTCCTAGGGCAGTACGTAATTCATGGAGGGGAAACGTTTCGTTGTAATCCTCCCCATTATCAGAGTTAAAATTGACTGGTTTCTTTTCTTGTTGGGTTTGATATTTCTGGAACTGAGGGTTATAATTTGATGAGGAGGAGTGGTTTGCCAAAGTTTACGCCGAGTTTGTTTTGCAATTTCAGATTTATTTGTTAGAAGGAGTCACCATCTTTCAGGTGGTGAACTCCTGATTTTGACCCTTTGCCCTTGATCTTTTGAATCATGTTCCACACCTTGGACATGGGTGTGCGGGAGTTGATTTTGGACACATATTCCCTCCCTGACCGGCGTTTAGTTTGTTTGAAGGTACGTTTTGCCCTGGCATTTGTCATTTTAACAGCATTCAGGTTATGCACTGTAGGATGTTGTCGGAAATATTTTTCCGCCTTCTTCCTATTTTTCCTAGCTTGTTTGCAGTTTGTATCAAACCATGGTTTGCGTATGTGCGGGTTTGCAGAGGACTTAGGAATACTTTTGTCTCCGATGGCATTTAGGACGTCTGAAAATAGTTCCATGGGGTCAGGAACATTCCTGAAGTTGTCCGGCTTAAGTTTTTCTGAACATAGGGTTTGGAATAAGGGCCAGTTGGCCTTAGTAAAATTCCATCTTGTTGATGGTGGTTCATCCGTGGGGTTGATAGGAGTAAGAATTGTTGGGAAGTGGTCGCTTCCACAAAGGTCGTCATGGACCGACCATTCAAACTCATTTAAAAGATTAGAATCTGTAAGTGATAGATCGATAGCAGAGTATGATCCAGTGGCAGGATGGAGGTAGGTGTTTGATCCATCGTTGAAGATGCATACATCATTATTGGAGAGAAACTCTTCAAGGATCTTTCCCTTACTATTTGTATCATTACTCCCCCATAGGGGGTTATGGCCGTTGAAGTCGCCCATGATTATGCAGGGCTTTGGGAGTTGATCGTATAAGTTCTGAAGATCTGATAGGTGGACAGTTGAGGTGGGAGGGAGATAGAGGGAACATAGTGTAAACCCTATGTTCAGAGTTATGCGGACAGCAACAGTTTGTAGGTTGGTGTTAAGTGGAACAGGGCTATGGAGGGTGCCCTGCCTCACCAGGATAGAAGTGCCTCCTGTAGCTTTTACATCGGGAGGAGAAAAGGAGTGATAGGAACTGTACCGACGGATGTCAAATTTATCGGTCCTTTTTAGGTAGGTTTCTTGGAGACAAAACGCAGATGGTTTGAAGTCTTGAATCAATAACTGTAATTCATTATAATTATTCTTTAGTCCTCTGCAATTCCATTGGATAATGTTTTGTTACCTCCATATCCAGAGGGCCAAAGGAGTTATGGACCTCGATGGGGACCTCTGAGGGAGAGGTGGCCTTTGGTTTTGTGTTTGGCGGTTGTTCAAGTTGCTTTAGTCTCTCTAGCCTCTTTTTTTCCCTTTTTCTGTGCGCAGTTTCTGTCTCTGGTTTTGGCATTTGTTCTGGTGTTTGTGATTCAGAAGTTTTGACTTTTGGCGTTGGAGATGGAGTGGCTGAGATAGGCTGAGTTGTGTTGAGTTGAGTTGGCTGAGAAGACGTGACCCATGTCAGGTCGGTCTGACATGAGATGGTTGCAGTAGTGATGGTAGGACGGGAGACAGCAGCAGAGTAGGTGATGGTTGAAGGGGCTGCAGTTAGACTTGCAACCCTCTTCTTTGCTTCGTGAAAGGAGATATTTTCTTTGTGTTTAATCTTCAGTATCTCGGATTCGCGTTTCCATACTGGGTAGAACTTGGAAGAGGCCATATGGTTACCACCACAGTTTGTGCACTTCACTTCCTTAGTACAGTCGTTGCCCTCATGCTTGTCACCACAGCGGTAACAGACAGCAGAGGAACGACAGGACTTGGATCCATGTCCAAACTTTTGGCAGTTGTAGCACCGGAGTGGATTGGGGACATACACCTCCACACCAATGCTACAATAACCAGCTCTAATCGAGTCAGGAATGTTTGCTCGCGCGAACGTGAAGAGATAGGTGTTCGTTGGTTGAACAACACCATCCTTTTTGAAGGTAAATCGTTTGACGGCTGTGACGGATTGCTGAGATAGTTCCTTGACAATTTGTTCTTCAGTCATGTCAGACAGGCATCGAGCTCTGTCCCGTACAATGCCTCTACACGAATTAAGGGTTTGTGTGCTGAGACAGCGACCTTGATATTTACAAATTCTTGTATTTTGAGAAGATTTAGAGATTGGTGTTTCCGGGTACATTCTATCAGGAGAGAGCCAGATCGGAGCTTTGTGACATTGGCAACCTCTCCGCAGATACCAGCGATACCTTTGGAGATTGCAAAAGTGTTCAATTGCAAAGGTTGCTTGTCACATGCCTCAATAATCAGGAAGCGTGGCCAGTAGTCAGGTCGGGGGGGCGTACTCTCGTCAGACGAGGAATTGTCGGTATCCATGTGTCGTCTTTTTGAACCGGGGTATTGGGAAGCCATGTCGTGGGTAATGTGGTTCGGCATCCCCTCTCCCCACCCACCGTGGAGTGTCAACAAGGACGATCTTATATTGCAGCGGATCTCCAAGCTGCAAAGACCAGGGATAAGGGGATGGTATACTCCAGCGAATTTGACATGAAATGCTGTAGCTGCCTACCAGATTAAAGGTCAGGATGGTTCTGTCCATGACAATCAATTGGAGACGTACAGAAATCGGAGGTCAGCATCACCAGATTGGCTCATGAGCCACCGCCTTCTGTGCATGGGTCTGCGAGGCTACTTTGTTTTGGTGGAATATTTGTTAACATTTTGAACATGGTCAAAAGTGTTATGTAATACCACGTTTTGTATAGACATTCCATGCACAGGGCAAGGCGTGACCAGCCGATTGGTAGAATCGGGCCTATTCTACCACCCGTCTAGGCAAAGTTAGGGTCGAAGTGGTGTGTTGGATTATTGAACACTATTGCCGGTTCCGTCATCCTCAACCACCAGACTCCCTTCCTCTGCCGACACAGGGGTGCAACCCACGGCAAACGGGTTGCCCAATTTGGTCGCCTCTTACGACCAGCAATGGGGTGCTGTGGACCTATTCGACCCCGGGTCCACACGGGGGCGAAGAGCTATTGGCGTTACCCAGCACCCACCACGAGGAGGTTGCTCTTCAAAGGGTGCCTCTCATCTGTTACATACAAAGAATACATGTGTATGCATATTGTGATAAAATATAAATGTACTAGCCGACAAAAGGTCTACAAGAGAAACTTGCAATAAAATTACATAAAGCTTGCAATACACGACATGTATTCAGGCCTGATTTCTTTCAACATATATCTTTACGACACAATTAAACAATCGGGACTTGTTTGTACGACTAGACAGTTTCCTGTGATCCCCGAAACCTGCCAGGGAAATTAGGTGTGACTAGCACTAATTAGTCTCGGCACAGAGAGTGGACAATCAGTGAGGGCTTCTAGGTGTTGAGTAGTGATGGGGCTCTCGGGTTTAATGAGTTAAATGAAACAGTCTCTTTGCTATTTCTTGGTGCAAGATCCACTGACCTTTCCTTTAGGAGAACAAGTCATCAGTTTCTCAGGTACAATGAAGGGGGAGCTGTGTGTGGTCAGGTTTAGAAAATGTAACATCAAGTCATGTACCAACGACCATATAGACCTTACACGTCTTTGTAGTTGCAGGCCAGTCAGTTATTGTTGAAATACGGAAACTAAACAGTTAATGTGACTCGCATGGTTGCAGGCTATTAGACAATTTTTTTTTAATTCAGTGTGTTGATTATAGTTCCTGCATTCTGATAAGGAAATTTGTTAATACATGAATATTCCAAGAGAATGTGTAACATTAAGCCACGCCCACCAAAACGGACTACTTTCATAACTCTGATAGAGTCAGTCTTTTCTCTTTCTGTTCACCTCCTTCATTGCTTGGTTATCGGGCCAAGTAATGCTAGAGTGTCAGAAAGTGAGATCCTATCGACCACTGTCACTCCAAACATCTGCCTTACACAAAGACTGCCCAACATCACAGTCTTCATTATCGGCCATTAGTGTCTTCCAGTTGTCCAGAAACAAATGTTTAAATATTTCGACGACTGACAATGCCATCACAGACAGATTGTATGAAATTCTTGCAAATACATTCCTCTTAAACGTGATAGCCTAATTTCTTGAAACTTGTTTCTCAGTCCGTAGGTTCAGCCTGAATGAAATTGTTAATGCTTTAAGGATTTCTAGTTGCTCTCAAAGCTCTTCCAGATCGGATTTGAGCACTTTCACCAGACAGACACAGCAAGATAATTATAACCCACGCTGTCAGCATGTACTAGATACATGGATATGTGCACTATATAAATATCCTATCCTATAATAATATTGAGGAAGGGAGAAGCAGGACTTTGATGAGAGATTATGACAAATAAATAGATAGCAGGGACACAATCCACATGCTTTGTGGACATTTGGACATCGTGACCAAGGCAGTATCTGACTCTCAGTCAAAAGTACCTAAAGCTTTGGCTCAGTTTATGCTGTTGGGGAGAGATCACCATATATTTTATCCAACCTGCTGTTCAACCTGCAAGGAGGCAGAAGAAGTCCTCATATGGGTAAGAAAAAGTTTCTATTTCAACATGTCTCCACCAGATGCCCCAGTGATCACATCCGTCCCCAGCAACAAGGATGTGACAGAGAACACCAGTCCCAACATCGACTGTAGCAGTAACATCACACCAGGCAACCCTTCAACAACAAGCTACAGGTGGACAGGTCCAGGTGGTTACAGCAAGGATGGGGCTGTACTTGACAGACGTGTAACCAGGACTCAGGGAGGAGTGTACATCTGTACTGCCTCCAACACTGCAGGACTGTCAGACACAGCTCAGGTCAACGTCAATGTGCAGTGTAAGTATGTCATTCATGCTACCGCTATTACCAAATATGCCCTTTGCATGAACGCGTGATCACTTTGTAATACTGTACATTGGCATATGTGGTCATCATCAGCTTCATTAAAACAAAAAGTTATAAAAACTGTCGTTACAATATCCTTAAAACTGCTAATGTGGCTGTATTTTTAAAGACTTAGTTTTTAGACATAGATGCATTGAAATAGACATTAAAATACACTTCCTCAGACAGAGTTGAGTTGAGTTGAGTTGAGCTTTACGTCACATCGGCATTTTTCCAGCCATATAGTGACGAGAACAAGTTTGCATTAGTAAATATTGTAAGTACATACTCGGAATGAGTTTTGTTTCAAAGACATTTATTGGTTACATTGTCATTCAAAAGCAGAAAAAGTCATAGCATCAAATTTAAAGGCAGGCGGTTTGTTACATTTCATAGTTACAATTTATGGTTGTTACATTTCACAGTTACAATTTATGATACAGATCAACTTCCCTCAGGTAGTTCAGTATCAGATGGGCGCTCACGCGTGAGAACAGATCTTTTAGGTTTGTTGTATCATAATGTGAGTCCCTTGCAGGCGATAAGTCCACGCAGTCAAGCAGAATATGCTTGACGGTGATCACCTCATCGCAAAGATATGGACATACCTAATGCACGTGCTCTGTAAATTGCCCTGTGCAGTTAACCGGCGACTATATTTCAGTTATGTACATATTTATATTTGGTCATAATCAGACTAATTGAAATAAAGAATTTATAAATGCTATTTCTACAATATGTCTTAAAAACTGCCAATGATGTAATCAATCACTTACATTTGAGACATAAATGTATTGAAACAGTCATCAAGATATGGAAAAAACATATCAACGGTATTGTCCATACTTAAAAGGAGTTAACATGATATGTTCCTTTCACCATTTCTTTCAAACAGACGCCCCAGTGATCACATCCGTCCCCAGCAACAAGGATGTGACAGAGAACACCAGTCCCAACATCGACTGTAGCAGTAACATCACACCAGGCAACCCTTCAACAACAAGCTACAGGTGGACAGGTCCAGGTGGTTACAGCAAGGATGGGGCTGTACATGACAGACGTGTCACCAGGACTCAGGGAGGAGTGTACATCTGTACTGCCTCCAACACTGCAGGACTGTCAGACACAGCTCAGGTCAACATCAATGTGCAGTGTAAGTATGTCATTCATGCTACCATGATTCCTTAAAACACACGAAATTGTGGAAACTCTCTGTGTTATGTTCCCCGAGAACTGCAAAACCTTCTCACCCAGATGGACCCATTCCGGACCCACGTGCCCAAATTGGTGACTTGTTATTCCCTTACTTTTAAGCCAACAGTATGGTTGGGAAGAGTAGTTTCTGTGTTTAGTGCTAGCCATCCTATCAAAATTCTAAATATTTCAAACTATGAGGCCTACGTTATAGTTTTCGATCTTATATTTAACACATCTACTTGTTACCTTCTATAGTATTTAGTAACATAGAAATAGTCCACGCCTTCTTAGTCTGTCTGTCCGTACATCCGTAATCATTTTGTTTCCAGAGCATAACTTGAAAAAAGAAAATTCAACGACAGATATATCAGACAGATCCCAAAATTGTGCCTTTTGCTATTTGCAGATTTGTGGACTTCATTTCACTGATATTGGTGTGTAACTGACATAGATATACAAAGTTACAAATCCGAATTCCATTATATTACTACTACTCTTGTATATGGACAGACAGATCAGACAGAACTTCTCCCATCAAGTTGGACTTTAGGTAACTGTCAGATAATTTGTTCTTTTAATATTTTAAACATATCCTACTCACATAGTGTACTCTCATGATTCGACAGCTGAGTGGAAACAAACTACAAACAGTTTTTGGCCTCTCTTGTAACATTCGCCCAAAAAAACACGCCCCACTGCTCCCGATCCTGGAAAGCCTCAGCCTCTGTGAAGCATGCAGCAAGCCACTGTGAAGGGAACACTTTTTAAGCTCAAATAGTCTACCTCGGGCACAGAAGATTCTACTTCAGGGAAAAGGCAGTTTTGTTCTCAATGCTCTAAGATCTTCTCTTCCTCGGATCCCTGGTCTTCGTGTATGGTGAGTGAGTGAGACATATTTTAAAGTCACATCGGCAATATTTCAGCCATTTTTACTTCGTCATAAATACATGTAAATCACTAAAAGCCTGCCAACGAAGGACAATAAAACCAACTAGAATATCACCGACACAATAAATAAAACTAGTATCTATCTCTAAAACTGGATTTCAAATTAGGACAATGTAATATAAAAGACGGGTTGTGGATCACCAGCAACCGAAGGTAGATCACCATACTAGGGACCATGGGGACTTACCAGCAGCTTTGCTACCTGCATGGACCCCAGCTGGATTTATACCATCCCTTTGTCCGCTGGCGAGTGAAGGAAAGTTAAGCCATAATATAAAATCACATAAATACTACTTTTAAAAATCCTGGAAAGTTGAAATGTACTTTGAAGGTTTTGGGACTTACGTATCCTCACGGGGGTGCAACAATTTTACATTACTTTAACCGCCTTTGAGGGTACAGCCACTAACAATCTTAGTTGATAATCTCAAATACCAAAAATAAAACATTAATCTATTTACAAAACATATTTCAAACCTTATGCAGCAATTCTATTTCCTTTAAAAACTCGATAATTAAATGCTAGTTTACATTATTAAAAAGATCCTTGACCGTTTAAACACTGAAGTATTTATCCCTTGTGATGGAAAAATCAACAGTCAAGCAGGACATTGTTCACCGTGATTCTCCCATCACAAGGCATACAAAATGGAGGCCACTAAGACATCGTCACATAATGAGCTCTTCAAAGCTGAACTGACAGCCCAAGTAGGTGAAACCGATAATAGGCTTTTGTAATGTAATTTATTAACATCTACATGGGTGCCCCACTTCTGCATCAGATCTAGTATATAACACCCACTCCAGATGGGTCAAGATTCATTGCTGCACTAGTGCTGTCTCAAGAGAGAACCCTTTGACAGTAGCAAGAGTTACTTGACCTTCTTTTACCAGCTTTAACTCACTTCTAGTCGAAAGTGTATGAAGCTCCTCTTATCATCATCCGATGTAAAGTTGGAAGATTGCAGAAGTGGCATATAATCTTACTTGTGTACCCACTCAACCATCTATTGCACCAGATATCATTGCTCTTTGGAACTCGATGGACACCCACAATGGTTTCTATGCAGTTTCACTTTATTATCACATGGAGTAAATTCGTGTGTGTGATGTTTCGACTACATATTCGACAAAAGGCTATGCCCATGCACACTGGATCTAAAGCGTCAACAGAGGACTACTGCACTTTCGAAATAACGAAGAGAGCTGTGAAGCAGGTAGCGTTTTTGTGAGACAGTGCGATAATTGCTTCCATGCACAGATCCTACTACTTTCTTCAAATCCATGAGTACATTCAGTAGTGGTTCAACGAATCAACATTTCCGGGTCCGTTCTACGTCTGTTTCACTATGTACTACCCTCGTTGCCCCATCATGACTTGACAATTTGAATCTCTGTGTAAGAGTTTACTTGACACCGTTTACCCAACTCATCACCTTCATAATCATAGAGTGTCAAGGCTGTGGTCAGTAGACGAACAGTCCCTTCACATAAAGGAACTGAAGGTCAAGGTGGTCATTATAACCCTAAGACATGGGCACAGGACTTTCAGTCAACCAGCCTTCTGTTTCAATCAGACAACTCGACAGTAGTTTGGTACATCAATCATCTGGGCTCCAAGGTTCATCAGATCTTCTGGATAATGCGATTTTTCATCTGACACCCTGTGTATTACAGCAAGACTGACACATACCAGGGGTAAAGAATGTCATCGCCTATGCTCTACCACGACCCGACTGGCTGTCACTATCTGAATAGAGACTACATCTACAGATGTTCACATCAGTCTGCCTTCCGATCACCAACACACAAATAGATCTATTTGCAACCAGGTTCAACAGCCATCTTCCCACACTGTGTTTCCAGTTCCAGATGCCTGGGAGGGTCTAAGCGCTTACACATTTCCACCACCAGCTCTAGTAGTATATAGAACAGCGGTACGAGATCACTACTATTGAATCCCCAGCCAACTTCCTGGTCACTATGACCGTGAGCCAATACTTTCCTGGTCATGTGACACTATTGTCATCACTCAACAGTTAAATATTTTGAATCGCTACTTCTTGGGTTGGGGTAACATTGTGTCGTAAGGTATGACCAATAATTCCTCTCTGGCAAAACCTCTCAGCGGGCCATCTTTCAAATAGTACAAGTTCGGTTCGTCGTCTTTGATGTCCACTTTATCTCTGTTGTAAGTGTTGAACGACCATGTCGGGTCGGTGGCTCGTTTCCGAGTGTCTCCTTCATGTTCTCCCGGCTGGTAGAGTTACCTCACGAGAACCTGTTCGGGTATTTGTTTTTCTTTTCCTTTACAAGATGGTGCAGCCAATTCAGCATTCACTGATTTCAATTTAATAACGTCGGCTGTTTTTTTATTTGTGAGACGAGTGATTTTGTGATTGATAGCCGGCACCACTTGAGGTAGACACACGACCCATTCGGTGTTGGGTTTATTTAGACTTATTTCCTGCGCGTACTGATGCCTGAATAAGGGCTTGACCAAAGTCCTATTGAATCTCTCGACGATGGCTTGGCTGTGATGGGCTCCGGACGCACCACTCCTGGCTCGGATGTCATGCTTGGTTAGTAGTTGTGACACGGCACCCATGAACTCCCGTCTTGGATCAACTTGCAGCTCGGTGGGTCATGTCAGCAGACTCCGTTTGTATATGCGTTCGAACGCATGAGCTACTTGGGTCGAGTCTTTCGCGGTTAAGAGTTCCGCTTCTTTGTAGCGGCTGGCAACGTCAACGACAGTTAGGTTTCATGTCTCACCCTGTCGTGAGTAAGAAATAGGAGGTCGGCTTGGTAAATGCGATTGGGCGTTGACCCGTCAAATTTTCTTCAAGGTACGTAGGGCGGGGTTTGTAGGTAGATTTGCCACAGGGCTTGTTTTTCCAACCACACTTTGGCTTCGTTTTGTGATACTCTTGCTATCTCGGCAAGCTTGTGTCTGGCACTCGCGCCTTTCCAGTATCCACGCGGCTGTAATAAATGTTTTCAAATTTGTTTGGTTGTCGTGACATTATATATATATGTATATTTATTCTTTTAGTTCAATTTTTTCGTTTCTGTCGCTTCTCAGCGTATTTATTTGGTGTTTAATAGTGCAAGTCTTGAACAGGGCTTCCTTGAATCTGGCGTGTTTGATTTGGTTTTTAACCACATATTTTTTCACGCCTTTCGCTTTTCTGATTTCATTATTGTCTGCTTTCAGGATGGAATACATTTTGGGCCTCAAGCCGATGTATTCCGCGATGGGTGTGCCGGATCATTTGTCTTTCATCTTGCCGAGCACTTTGTTATTGATAGTGTCATGCATCAGGTGGTCCTTGGGGTAGTCGCTGGTGTCCGCGTACATGTCATCGGTTCGAATTTCCATCAGCAGGGAATCCATGTCTGTATACAGCACTTCAAACCTAGCACCGTACTGGCCCTTCAGTTCATTGTTATAAAAGTCGTACATCAGGTGTTTGGATAAGTCAAGGATGCTCATCCCCATGTAAACAGGCCGGTTGAATTTGATTTGACATTTTCTAATGTGCAACGCTACCAGATCGTCACTGAATATTTTGCTTCGGGTGAATGCTGGGCTGGCTATCAGTTTCCTGAGTTTTTCTTCCACTTTCGATTGGACTAGTTTCACGTTCACGCATGTTCTCAAATTCTCCATCGTCTTACCGAACACCGAGTTGTTCATGATCTTGTAAAGGTTTTTCTCGAAATCACTGTTGGCCTGCTTTTCGTAATCTGTGTTCATTCTAATGTTGGGCTCCATCCACGGACTCTGGTCGAACTTGAGCACCCTATGAATTTTCGTGAGTTTTAGTCCCAGCGACAAGTACAGTTGCAGGTTGCCATAGTGAACGATATATTAACGCATTCGCCCTCACTTTTTCAGAGATCCATGCAACAGGAAAACATGTCGCTATGTCAACACCCCATTGCCACTGATTTTGATGATGGTTTTCTGGATGATTGCACGACCCACGTTCCGCATGAGTTCGC